TTTTTATAGTTTATTTTTGAGACAGAGAGAGACAGAGCATGAGCAGGGGAGAGGCAGAGAGAGAGGGAGACACAGAATCTGAAGCAGGCTCCAGGCTCTGAGCTGGCTGTCAGCACAGAGCCTGACGCGGGGCTCAAACCCACAAACCGTGAGATCATGACCTGAGCCCAAGTAGGATGCTTAACTGACTGAGCCACCGAGGAACCCCTCCAACTGTTAAAAAAAAAATTTTTTTTTAATGTTTATTTATTTTGAGAGAGAGAGAGAGAGAGAGAGAGACAGAGAAAGAGTAAAGCAGGGGAGGGGCATAGAGAAGGGGAGAGAGAAAATCCTAAGCAGGCTCTGTCCTGTCAGCATGGAGCCCAATGCGGGCTCCATCTCATGAACCTTGAGATCATGACCTGAGCCAAAATTCAGTCAGATGCTTAACTGACTGAACCACTGAGGCACCTCCATTTCCAACTCTTATAAAATTAAAATATTTTAAAATATCTTAAATTATGGACTACTATGAAGTCTGAGAACTTAAAGACTAAAATTATTTGACTTTTTATGTTCAACTAAGTCATTAGCTAACTAAAAAAGGAAGAACCAATCTTCATATAAATTATTTAGATGATCAGTGAGTTCATTATTTATTAAGTCAATAACTACAAGGGAGAAAAGGATAATCTACAGTTATAGGATATGTGAATGCGTGCCTCTGTCATAGTTAACGGTAAGCACAGGTAAATCTGGCAGGTGGGCACATGTTATTTCCTATGTTTTACATTTTCAGAGCTGAAAACAGGTCTTGGGACTTTATGAAAGACTTATCAATTGTTAATAAGAAGATTTATCATTGGATTTTTCTTAGGAAAGAGAAACCACAATTATGAAACTGGCAATCGGCTCAACCATCAGTGAAGTTAGAAGATAGGAAATTTGGGGTAAGTCACACGTCCTCGGATGGCTTTGGCTACAAAACACTTCTAGGAGAAGCCACAGAATACAGCAAATGCAGACTCAAATGGCATTAGATGAATTTCTACATCAGACTGAAAATAATACGTCACTACTGCAACAGCAGAATTGAGGTGAAAAGATGGGAAAAGAAGGTCTTTCTGTAGCCCTTAAAAAATTAATTTTGCAATGGGATATCTTCCTAAGTTGTGAACACTCATTCATACCTGATTCCTAAGTTTTTGAATTTCTTCTTCTCGATCCTTAATCCTGCTTTGCAATGTGTTCTTCGTTCTATACAGATCTTCTTCGATGTAGTGGAATTCCTACAAAGTGAGACGTGAATAAACAGAAGCCCTATCAGTGTCCCCTATTTCATCCCCAGTACCTAAAACAGTGGCTGACATGCAGGAGGCACTCAGCTGACACGCACCACCATCTATCCTGAATGGATGAACGGACAGACGCGGACGGGTCTGATGAACACTACTCGGGCGTGCTGTATCAACCCGCACATGAGGCATAACCAAGCACAAGTCTGGGGTGATCACAGGTCTTCATGTTTCTTGGGTAGATACGTAGGAATAGAACTGCTGGATCACATAAGGGTTAGGTCTAACTTATGGGGGAAAAACTGCCAAATTACTTTGTGAACTGTTTTCAAAAAACCTGCGCTACTTGGGATTCCCATGCAATATGACAGAGTTCCAGTTCTTCTACATCCTTCCCAACATTTGGTATCGTTAGTTCCGGTAAGTGTAGCTACTCTATGGGTATGTGCTGGTGTCTCAGTGGGGTTCCTATTTGCATTTCTCTAGTGATTAGTGATGCTGAGCAGCCCTTCACGTGCTTATCTGGACCAGGCAACACCGTGCCCGTTTTGCTCTATCATTGCTAAAAGAGAAAAGAATACCTCCAGATTCACTAACAACTGCACGAATGTGCTGCTGGTTTGTACAATGGATACGATGAGTCAGTGTCAGTCGCAATTTAAGACAAAGCACATGCCAGGGAAGACAGAGTAGTTAACTAAGAAACCTTCAAAAGCATTATGCTTAACTGTGCAGATGAAGTAAAGGGAAGAAGTATGAAGACGTAAATGTGAGACAGGATCAAACTGCTAGACTACGGTAAAACATTTAGTTCAGCCTGCTCATGTTACTGATTAAAAAAGCTGAGATAAGGGAGAATAAAGAAAATGAGGCAGTAATTAGTTAGGGTAGGAGAATTGCAATTTACAAGAAGGTCTGCCTTGTTTCTTTCAAGCTCTTAGGCTAGCACAAAATTTAAGGTTGAAATTACTTAAATTAAAAAGGAAAACTATGGGACTGTTTAATGCCAAGATTAAGCCCTAATACCTAGAACATCTCATGACTAAATAAACAGCCTAGAGCTACATTCAGCTGCACTCGCCCTACTTAATTCTATCATTTTAAAAACGGGCACTGGCAGTGGGTGTGGTGAAGCCATCTGCCGTAATAAAATGAAAATTATCTAACCATCAAGAACATCAAATTTTTGCTTTTCGATATATAATAATAGCTCCTTGAATAAATTAAATGCAATTTCTGAAAGGACAGTCAATTTCATAACTAAATTATCTACGACAGACTATGATGTATCTGTAGGCTGCTACTCAATGGACTTTTTTCCCCTCACTACTCAGCAAACAGCTGAGTGGCACGTTCATAATAAAAACAAACATTTCTCTGAGAATAGAACAAGTTTCAGAAATGATAAATCCTAATAAAAAAGGTCTAGGAATATAAATACACAAAGCTGGAAATGTTATAAGTGATGCACTGATAATTGTAAGAATAGTTTTCTGTAAAGAGAATACAGATTTTATTGTGAGGATAAAATAAAATAACATACACTATGTGCCTGTAACAGTGTCATTATTTAGTAAATTACAGGGGTTGGTAACATTAGATACAGCATCTTCTGAAAATGTGGCTGTAAGCACGTTTAACTGTTGTAATAAGGAAACTATCATATGTCTATTAAAGTATGATAATTTGGTTTGGGGAGCAAACCACTGCTAAGTAAACAAAGAAATACAATTATAAACATGACTTGTAAGAACACTCTGTATAAATATTTCTTCTCAAACAGAAAGAGCGGTCTAACATGGCAATAATGTTGTATTTATATTTCTAGTAAATACTACTACTGCTGTCCCTAGAAAGCACAAACGTAATAAAACATGAAAATCAACTGATGTTTTTAAGCTTTCTATACATACGCACTATAGTATATGAGGTAGTAGTGTATGTACGTGGGGTGTATGAGGCAGCAGCGTATGTACGTGGGGTGTATGAGGCAGCAGTGTATGTACGTGGGGCATATGGGGTAGTAGTATATGTACATGTGGTATATGAGGCATCAGTATATGTACATAGAGTATATGAGGTAGTAGTATATGTTTATGTAGTATATGAGGCAGTAGAAAGAACTCTGGGACCGGAATCCTGAGTTCTGTGCTATTCTCTAGTCGTTGTTTGATAAGAGACAAGCCCTGTAACCGTTGTGTGGGTCTATTTCTCATCTGCCAAATAAACAGTGAAGGGGGTGGGTAGTAACAAGACAGGAGGGACCTAGAAGGTCCCATTTAGCATCACCGCTCCAAGCCCATCCTACAAGAATGTCACTAAGGTCCTTTACTAGAAGAGTATCCTCCGAGGGCCGCCAGCAGAACATCTTCCTTCGATAATCTTCCATCTAAAATCTTTACCTGCTTCTGTCGCTCCAATTCTGCCTCCAGTTCTTGTTTAGATGCTTTTTGTCCAGCTATTTGGTCTTGTAGGTCTTGTAACTGTTCTCTTGCTGACTCTGCCTCACTAACCTGCTGGGCCTCCATATCCTGAAACGATGAGCCTGATATGTGAAAGCAATAATTAACTGTTCATTTTGACACTTACTGAGTAATCACTATGCGCCATGCACGGGGCTGGGCGGGCACTGGGGGATAAAGGTGAGTGGACATGGTCTCCGCCTAAAAGGAGGACACAAACGGACGCTTCACTGTATAACACGGCAAACGGTGAGACACACGGACAGGATACCACAGCTGCCACAGCACCCGAACCACGTGATCTAATGAGCATGCGTCAACAGTGGCTCACTGGGAGATTTATGGCTCCAATCAAAAGCTAACGATTTCAAAAGGAACAGGAATATAATATCACAAAGGATTTTGCCGCACTGGTCCCATGGAACTGCAGGTTACAGTTAGTTTCTGCCTGTGTGCTAAGTACTCAACAGAAACTAAGAATATAACCATTCTCTCACATCACCTCAGATTAATTAGTCTATTATTTCTTTTTTAAATTAAAAAAAATTTTTTGAATGTTTTTATTTATTTCTGAGAGAGAGAGAGAGACAGTGTGAGCAGGGGAACGTCAGAGAGAGAGAGAGATCCAGAATCTGAAGCAGGCTCCAGGCTCTGAGCTAGCTGTCAGCACAGAGCCTGACGCAGGGCTCAAACCCACGAACTGTGAGATCATGACCTGAGCTGAAGTCAGACGTTTTACCGACTGAGCCACCCAGGTGCCCCCATTTCATTTTTTTTTTTTAGTTTTATTACCATTATCTGTTTGTATATCTTTCTATATTTCTTCCGCCTTCTCTCAGTGTCATTATTCTCATTTCTTCAAACTCAAAACCCACCTTCTAGATTTCCTAATAAATCTACTAGTGGCAAAGAATGTAACTCTAGGTTTCTCAATTTCCCCTGTATGGGTTAAGCATGCATCCATTCATACAGTCCCACAAGAGACAAAAACTGGCATCTCATCTGCTTTTGATCTTTTGGTACACTCTGTCTTGAACTCATCTCTACGTCTCCACACTTCACATACTGTTTGGAAGAACAGATAGATTAATGATACTTTCAGATAATAACAGATACTCCCAGATAACACAACTTTGTGGACTTAGAGAACAGCAATAAGTACAATTATTTTTCCCTATCCTTGAGTTTTGGGGATTGATAGTAGGTAAATTAATCTTGCCATCAGTTTGACTTAATCAAATGAATTCCTGAGCTGCAGGCAGTACAGGCAATGGTTAAGAACGTATTCTGGAATCGGGCAGAGGTTCTAATCCTGGCTCTGCTACTTTACCAGTCCTAGGGAAACTACTTTCCTTCTCTATGACTGAATTTCTCTTCAAACTGCAGAAAGAGAATGCACCATCTCCCTTACAGGGAATGCCTGGCATAGCAGTGCTTAGTGAATGACAGCTACTGGAGCCGTTAACAATTCTCTCATTCTGCTGGATACACTTTAATCCTTACTACAGATTTCATAAACTTGGGAAATAGTCAATGTCCTCAGTGATGCTGGGGTAAAGATGAGATATTAAATAAAACACGTCCTATTTTTCATAATCTCATCCAAAATACATGTATGAACAAAACAAAGCGTGAATAAGATTAGCATCCACTCAATTTCTAAGTTCACGGGACTGAATTCTTTGGAATTCATAATTAATTACAGGGAAAAAAATCCTACTTTCCAGATTCTGAGGACAACAGCCTTTATAAGCTCTTCTACTTGGCCAATATGAAAAAAATCCAGACGTGACATGAGCTAACAGTTGCTGAGGGCCTAACCCATGTTGGGAACAATGCCAGGCCCTTTACACATATCCCTTATCCTCAAGGGAAGCTCTGTTTACCTTCAGTTCATGGCTGAAAAAAGTCAGGCTCAGTGAGAAGTGGTGTCTGGTGCAGGCAACACATCTACTAAGCCTGAGATCCAAGCCCACACTCCAGACAAGAAGCCCTACCCTCACGACTTCCACACTTTCCATTGTAGATCATAAACATCTCACAAACCAATCACTTGCTGAGTTCATGCATGGGTGAGTATTCTTTGCAAAATGGTTTTTCTTTTAAAGAAGGCTTGTTAGCCAGCACTTTATCTTCTCTTGTTCTCAGAGACCACTCCTATGATATTTATGTCGAGGACTCCATGTTTTTAAACTAAATGAAAGGCTCCATTTATTTGTGGATTAAAAACAGCAATTACACATAAACCATAAATGATAAGATTACGTCTGAAACTCTAATTAAGAGACCGTCCCTGTGTCCGTTCCAGTATCAGAAAACATTCCAGTTTTACACACAAGCCCAAATCTCATTTGTGTTTTAACCACTAGATCACAAGATCCACAAATTCGAAGGTTCTGTCTGCTCCTTGCTATAACCCCGAGCCTATAAGATGCCCGGCACATGGGGGGCAGAGGAAGAATTGGTTTAATGAACGAACCTAGTTACCGCTCTTATTTCCAGCCCTTCACAGTCAGTGGACAAGAAACCTATCGCTTTAGATTCATTTCTGCATGGTGACCGCTGGTCCTGCATAAGTTCCACGCACTGTCTCACCAACACCCTTCCCTGAAAACACAAATGCCCCCTCGCCGCTCCCCTTACCTGCCAACAGCTGGGGGTGCGTGGCTGGCTGTGCAGCCGACCCACAATGAATCTTACCTGTAGTTCAGACCTCAGCTGATGGATCTGGCCCATTAGCTTCTGTATCTCCTCCTTCTGCATCTCCTTCTCATGGCGAAGTTCCTCCAGCTCCATGCTGTGAGCGGTACTGCTATCAAGGCCTTCAAACCCAGAGCCTTCCTTTAAGCTGTTAATCAATTTTTCTTTAGACTATTATAAAAAAAAGAAATAACCTTGAAGCAAAACTGAGGTCGGCTTGTATACTGAATGCCATTAATCTGACACTAACAAAGCCGCTGTGGAAATAGTCCAATTACATTCTCCATCAAAGAAGTCCACAGTGGGACAAAGATGCGACAGAGCCTTGCTGCATACCGTCCTTGGATTGAAGCCCCCAGGCCCATGTTATTGCTGAAAACTTGTTATCGACACAACTTTTCTCACATGTTCTTTTCCTCCTTCCTCAGGCTTTTTTTCCTCCATCACATGCTACTCAACAAATGTTTATGGAATGCCTACAGAGGGTTTTGCACTGTGCTCAGTGTCCTGTGTAATGAAGATGTCCCCCGTTGGGATGGCATCCTCTGCCTTATAAAGCAGAAGGGAAGTTTTGAGAGAGGCGTCTGCCAAGACCGCCTGCAGAGTTCTAAGAAGGAGAAAGCACCTCTGGGGAAGACAAGGCTCTACCTGAAAGCAGCAGTTATGCTGGTCCTGAAAATCGGCTAGGATTCGGACAGGTATGGAGAAGACAGGGCAAAGCATAAAAATGCAACGGCGTTAAGGTGTACGAGAAAGCCCTAATGTGAGGCGTGCTGAGGTAGAATGTTAGGGCCAATCTGTGGGGGCTTCAGATGCCAGACTAAAATGCTTGACTTTATTTGGTGGGCCAAGACAAGTGACCAAGAAGTAGACCGGAAGTGCTAGGACCAGAGCTGTATTTTAGGAGGGTTAATCTGGCAGGAGTATAACATACATGTTCACGAACTATGGCTGATGGACCACATCTGGCCTGTGGCCTATCCATGTACAGCCTACAAGCTAAGGATGGTTTCTACATGTTTAAAGGGTCATAAGAAAATAAAGAGTATGTGATGGTGACCACAGAGAGCCTGCAAAGCCTACAATATGTACTGTTTGGGTCTTTACAGAAAGAGTTTACCAACCCCTGGTAGAAGAGATGAGTTGGAAGAAGAGAGTTGATGTGGGAAGACTAGCTCAAAAAGTGCTATCTTTGTAGGCCAGCAATAATGACCATCAGCTCTTTCCCCTTCAGTAGAAATATCTGAATGGCACTCTCCTCCATCAAAAATAGTCTTCCCTTTTTATACGGTAGAACTCTGGGCAACTTCTTCAAACTTCTCTGTAATTTTCAAATTTTCTATCATAAACAGAATTCTCTCCCTCTCTCTGGGCTAGTGCCCAGACCTGTGTGCTGAGCACCAGGCGTGTATTTCGGATCGCTTTCCTGAAACTTTCACCCCAGCATCACATCAATTTTGCAAACTCATCGTCCCGTCCTAATGTCCAGTGCTAGCCTGCTGGCTTCCCTGTTTCCCTGCCACACGGCAGGGAGTAGCTCTCGTGCACTCAAGCCAGAAAACCAGAGTGCTCCCTCGGTCCACTTGCATTTCCCCCTCCTCCAGTTAAGTCTCTCAGTCTCACACACCCCACCTCCTCCACGTCTCTTAGCTGTCCTGTCTGCCACCTTCACTGCCGCAAACTAGACCCGGTCCTCGTTATTCCTCACCATTAATTCTCACACCCTCCTCTTTACGTCTCCATCTCGCCATCCCATCCTCACCCCTCCACGTCCGCAGCAATTTACTGAGCACCTCCTACGAGCTGGGCCCTGTGCCAACTCTCCCCTCACCTCCTCATCACGGCCAGTCCTTACGCTCCCCGTCTTCCTCCTCTTCATCCCTAACCATCACGGCCAAGGGAACCAGCTGCCGTCGTCCGCCACCGGCACCACGCTCCCTCAGGACCCCTTCGCTCCGGCACAGGCTGTCCTAGCAGACCTCTCTCCCATACGAGTCTTCCTACTCATCCTTCAGTTCCTCTTTATACAGCATCTCCAGTCACCCAACTCCCCCCCACCCCGCCCCCAGCAGGTTTTAAGGGCTTAATGCATCAATAACGTCATCGCATCAATTACCTCAGTGTCTTTTTGCCAACTGAACTGCTCTTTTCAGAAAGAAGACACACCCTCAGCACCTCCCATACGACCTCGTGAATAGTTAAGTGCTCAGTTAGGACCTTTTAAATGAATTGATTAGAGTGACATAGCAAGAATAATTAGAACCCTTTGGAGGAGACAGATATGCTGTCTCATGAAAGAGGAGTCAAAAAGGTGCTCATACCCAACAGGAAGGAGGCAGGAGATGAAGGAAAAAGGTGGAGTCAAACCTCATGTGGTTCCAGCTCTACTGCCTGGGAAGAAGGCATAATATCTATCACAATAGGAGAACGAAGGAGAAGCTGGTTTGGGGGATGGGACGTCCCACGGAGAGGCGCACCGCAGGCACTTAGAAACTGGGGTCAGGACTTTAGGCTTGGAGACAAGCTGATGTCACATCAAGGTGATGGAGGCAGAGTGAGAGTATGACAACGCGAAGAAAGGGGTTAGAGAGGGTTTAGACAGGATCTGGGGAGGACTCTTCCTCTGGAGACTGGGAAGAGGGCCCAACAGAGACAGAACGAGCAGGGAGAGAGAGCAGAGAGAGAGAGATGGCCGTGCGAGTGACACCAGAAGGCAGGAGCTTCAGGAAGGGAGGAGGGCTAACAGTGTCCAGTGCTCTACCAAAGTCAAAGTGGGGGGAAACTAAGAAAAGTAAGAAAATACATATTCAGGTCATCAAAGGCCTCTGGGAAGACAATTTCAGAAATGTAGCAGGGACAGAAATTACACGAAGGAGTTAAAGTTAACAGGTCTAAAATTAAGACAACATATTTGCAATAATTCCAGTAAGTCTGACATTGAGAGAAAGGACAAGGAAATGGATCAAAGTGGTCAAAAAAGCCAAAAGTATGGTTTTTTTTCCTTAGGCAGGAGTTCCAAGATCTAGTCTGACCTTCCACTAAGCAACCATGGGCTCTTGAGTAAGCTGAGCTGGAAGAAGGCAGCAGAGAGGGAAAAGCAGGGAGAGCACGGACTCAGGAGGAAGAGCTGAAATGAGGTGGGGCGGGAACCAATGTACAGGCTGAAAATTCCTCCCTGGAGAAGACGAGAGCAGATGTTCCCCCCCCCCCGCCCCCCGCCCCGACCGGAGAGGCAAAGGAAGGGGAAGCTGAGGACTAACATCAGTCAAAGACTGACACGGCGTGTCTCAGCGGAGTGGAAGGGAAGGTCAGCGGAGACACCAGGCGGTGGGGGGGAAGCCTGGTAAGAAGTGACTGCGTGACAAGAGTCATCAATACTGCGTGGTTAAGGTGACACGTGGCAGGCCTGGCCTGGGCAGTGGCAGAATGAATTTTAAGCAAAAAGAAAGAAAGGTGGTTGGCACAAGGGACACTTCAGCCTTTTATAGCACCTGTGAGCGGAATAAGGCATGTGATGTCAGCCAGCCTAGCCAAACACAAAACGAGTCCCCTCACGGATCAACGTGGAGTCAAAAGTGTCTCCCAACTGGGAAATCCCAACACCCAAAGTGCACATTTCAAGCTTACTTGGAGTATCCTAGTAGCTTTCTGCTTGTAGTCAACGAGTTCCTGCTTGGAGGACTCCAAGTTGGACTTATACACTTTGACTTGTTGCTGCAGCTCGTCAACTCTCTTCTTCTCGTCCGCGAATTTTCTCTCTGCCAGTGTAACTGCTTCTGCCAAGTTCTGACGTTCCACTTCCATTTTATTAAGGCGCGCAGCAAACTCACTCTGTGACAAATTTTCATGTCATACTTATGGCATTTCCTTTGAGATATATTTTACAACCATCTAATCACATATCTTACGGGATTTTTTTTTTTTTTTTTTTAGCTCAGTCCAACAACCTAACAGGGAGGTTTAAAAACAAAACAAAACACACCACCTCATTTGTTAAGAACTGAAGAATAGGAACTCTAAGGTTGCAGGCTCCCAGACATGGCAGTGCCTCAGAATTAATTTGGGAGCTTTTAAAAAATGCAGCCACCAAAGGCCTTCCCCAGGCTTAGTGAATTGGGATTTCTAAGATGAGGCTTGGAAATCTGTTTTTTAAGAAACTTTCATGGTAAAGTCACCCGGATACAGGTCTATCTGGTTAGCCTGATACTAAGCTGATCAATGCATAAAAGGTCTACAGAAAACAGTCTACGAGAAAGCAAATGAAAGAAGTCAATAGCTACATCTTTTCTAACAGTATGGCTAAGGTTTTCTTTTTATTTCAAATTTTTCAAATCAACTGTTCAATGTAATTTTTTAGCTTAAGAAACTTTTAAAGCCACTGAATGACTGAATTAAGTATAAAATATACCATATTTTGAAGAGTAAGTATACAAAAAAAATCTTATTAATGATTTTATTGCTAACTATATGGTGAAGTAACAGTACTTTGGATATACTGTGTCAAATAAAATACATTCATAAGATTTTCAAAAAGCCCACACTAGCTGATAGTTACTTTCAGGACGGAAGTATTTTCACCTGTTGAAAAGACAGCCTGGACCAGTGGTTCTCAACCTCACTGCCCCATGGACACACCTGTGACTCTTATAAAACTCAAACACCACTGCTTATGCCCACCTCACACAATGGGATCAGGCTCCCTGGAAGTGGAGACTTGGCATCAGAAAGTATTAAAAGCTACACGATCCTAATGCACAGACAGGGTTGAGAATCACTGAACTAGATGCAAAAACTAATTTAAGAGTAAAATTTGGGGCACCTGGGTAGTAGCCAGTTAAGCACCTAACTTTTGTTTTTAATGACTTCAAAATGAAGTCATACTATACTTTTTTCTTTTAATGTTTATTTTTGAGACAGAGCACAAGTTGGGGAGGGTCAGAGAGAGGGAGACACAGAATCTGAAGCAGGCTCCAGGCTCTGAGCAGTTAGCACAGAGCCCAATGCACGGCTCGAGCCCATGAACTGCGAGATCATGACCCGAGTCAAAGTCGGATGCTTAACCGACTGAACCACCCAGGTACCGCTAAGCATCTGACTCTTGATCGTAACCTAGGTCTTGATCTCAGGGACATGAGTTCAAGCCCTGCATTGGGCTCCACACTGGGCATAAGCCTACTTAAAAAAAGCTTTTAAAAAAGAGAAAAAATCTACATATTAGGTACATTTCTCTAGAAATAAATGAAATGAGATAAACTGGAATCAGAAAAAGTTTAAATAAAAAATAAACAGGATGCCCCACATCAGCAATTTTTTTCTAAGCGTTTTCTTCAAAAGTTTCTCAGCACCATCCAGTTGTAAGAAAGAAGCCCCAAATCAGCTTTTAATCAAATAATGGTAATGTTCATTGCAGAACGAAATTAAGTGAAAAAATGTCTGTCTCTAATGAACATTAACTATTTTAATTGTATTTCTTCTTTTAAAGGGGTGCTGAGGGGTTGCTCCCCTTTTATTGACAGAGCTTTCTCTAAAGAGGGTGTAATGCCCCTCCCCTCTGGGACTCCTATCTGACTTGTGCATCGTCCCTGCAAGGACCCTCTTAGTAGAGCCCCCACATATGCCTGCTGATGCCTTGTCTGTCATAAAGGAGGCTGAACTTCATTTTAAGTATATTTCAATACATAGGATTAAATTTAGCAAGAATCAAGCTAAATTCTCAAATACTCAGATTCTGTCACAGAAAGAGGGTTTTCTGAAATGCACTGTAGAATTTTATTCAAGAGAAAACGTGCGATGCAAGTCATTCCCTCTCTCTAACCTGCATCTGTTTACTGCTCTCCTGCTCTCTCTTCCGGGCGGCGTCCGCTTCATGCAGCCTCTCCTGGAGCGTCTGCAGAGCTTGGTGCTGCAGGCTGCTGCCCTCACTGTGGTCCTGCATCATTCTATAAGACAAGACACCGCTAGACAGGGCACATGTCCAGTGTACACGTGATAAGGTGCAATAAGCTGTAGAGTGTCGGCTTATAAGCACAAAAAAGATGGCTTGACTAAAATATTCTTAAAGAAATCTTTTTGCCTTTTAATGGAACGTAATCTTCATTTCTGGGGGTCCAAATATAAGCACACACCACATACGTTAAATGTCGAAAGATTAATGACACTCTGTTCTTCAAATATTTTTAAATGCAGGATTTGCTAACAACGCATCTCAAGATTCAAATAGTAAGACAACTTTTAATCACACACATTTCACATTAAAAAAACATAAATTTTCCCTTTGTAAATTTCGAAAGCTAAGCTTTCTCAAAGTGGTATACACAGCAGTGTTTATCATTACTTGTATGGGAAATAATCTTCCCAGCCCCTCTCCCTCGTTCACCACCAAGTGAGCTACCGTGACTTCTCGCTCTGTAAGGCCTCCAGTGCTTCCGTGCGGGTGCTCAGTAGCTGGTCGGCTTCTTGCAGCCTCACTTTGAGCACCCCCAGCTGCGAGTCCTTCGCGGCCACCGCTTCGGTCAGATCATCCACTTGGGCTCGCAGTTCTCGAGTTATTCGATCACTCTTTGAATGGTCAACGTTCCACTTTTCCACTCTCGCTCTTGCTTTGTTTAATTCTAAAAAAGAGACAGGGAAATTTCCCTATTCAGGTAGACAACGTTTTTCTCAGAGCACACACAGATTCTCCTCTGTGCGCCTTTAGGGCTTACTGCCGAAATCAAGAGCTTACAAGTATCTTCAAATTATTTGCTCCAAATGTGATACCCACTTCTCAAGGCCAACATTCACATCTACATTACAGTTAATAGGTTGGAACAGGGCATGATGATAGCTGCTCTTATACAAAAAAAATTTTTTTTGAAGCCTAACATAAAGCATTTGGGAGCCAAAACCAGTACTGAGCAGAATTCATAACACTAAAATGGTCGGTGGGCTTGGAGAGTTCTGCTAGAGACAGGAAGGATGCAAATCCAAACCCAAGGTATACACTCCAGGAAGACCAAACAAACAAAATCAAAACCTGAAGATAAATACAGGAAAGAATGTTTCTCTTGATTATTATAGCAAAAAGATGCAATTTTTTAATGTTTTATTAATTTTTTGAGAGTGCAAGTGGGGGAGGGGCAGAGAGAGAGGGAGACCGAGGACAGGAAGCGAGCTCTATGCCGACAGCAGAGAGCCCGATGTGGGGCTCAAACCCACAAACCGTGAGATCGTGACCTGAGCTGAAGACAGACGCTCAACAAACTGAACCACCCAGGGGCCCCCAAAAGATGCTGGTTTTTAAGTCTAGGACACTGGTGCAGTGTGGATTTCCACACACTCTCACAGATCATCTGTAACAGCTGGCTGCCGGCAAGAAAAAAAATTTTAACATCAAAACAAACTCTATGCAGTCTCAGGAAAGGCTCTATCTCTGTGTCCACGTTAGTCTGGTAAAGTGAAGCTGTTTCTAAACTCAGTCAACAAGTCTTAAACTTTCTTCCTCTTGCACTCTTCTGGGCCTCTAGCCATGTCTTGGCCAAACTTCCCCACTGTCCCTGCATCCTTTCTAATCACTGCCAGGCTCCAGGGCAGAGACTTCTCTTATTTGCTCACAGTCACACTTACATGAACACTAACATACTCCCTACCACTACCTCACGCGTGGGATCTTTTACTTTTAAATTACCCATTTCTGAGGAATCCAAGGGTTTTCTACTCTAGGGCCACTTCACTACACTTTTCGAGAGGGTACTTTTCAAAGTGAATTCCATGTTCACTTTACAGCTGCGGGAGCAGTGCAGTACAGTAACCTTGCCCACTGATGCCCATGACCTTGTTTAATCTCACCTCTCGTTCATGAGCAGCTCCCCCTGAATGCTCAGAATAAAGCAACCAAATGAATCAGATGATTACTTATGTTCTGTTCTCAGTTCTTAAATTTCATGATTCCTAGGAATGACCAAAAGAGCCAATGTTCTGGTTCAGGTTGGTAGCAGGATGACTGGTCCCACTTCTAAATCTGGGCCCTGTATTTCTATGAAAACAGTTTTTTAAAAAAATTTTTTAAAAATGTTTTATTTCTTTCTGAGAAAGAGAGAGAGAGAGACAGTGCAAGCAGGGGAAGGTCAGAGAGAGAGGGAGACACAGAATCTGAAACAGGCTCCAGGTTCTGAGCTAGCTGTCAGCAGAGCCCAATGTGGGGCTCGAACCCACGAACTACGAGATCATGAACTGAGAAGTCGGCCGCCTAACCGACTGAACCATCCAGGCGCCCCTGAAAACACTATTTTCTAAGTCTCATCTGAAATATTTCTAAGTGTTGATGTAATCAAATTTTCCATTTATTTTTGAAACGTAAAATCCCTAACCCTGCACAACTGAAATAAGGCTCTACCTTCTTGAGTTTCCTTGGATCTTTGAAGCAATGAGGCCATTTCTTGATTTAAAGACTGAACTTCATTCCTCAATAGTTGGTTCTCCAATCGAAGATTAGACAATTCATGTGATTTGCCGTCAGCAGGTGTTGGGTTATGGTCAGCTCAGGCAGCACCTGATGATACGTTTTCCTTTGAAGAATCCTCTTGAACTTCATGACCAGAATCTGGATTATTAGAGGTTTCTGTGAAAAACAGAATACATTTTTGTTATACCGGAACACGCACTGCATACACATCAGTAGTTTACTTTGGCAGAATGCCTTTTGGCTCAAGCTGACTGCTACAGCTAAATGGCATAAAAAGTAAACCTAATTTTCGATAGACTTCTTTCTGATGACGTATCATTCTCCTGCCTGGAGGCCACAGACCTCTAAGGATCTCAAATACTAGACATACTGAATAAATGGTGATGAGGAATAGACACAAGAATATAGTTCTGGGAAGGAGAAAATCAGAGAGAATCAAAGTGGCTGGGTTTAGGTAAAAAAGGTTTCAGTCCCCCTTTGGTCTTCAAAGTATTTTCTTAAAAAAAGAGACAAGACCCAACAGTGAAAATAATAGAAAGGCACAAAAGAACAGCTGTGCGTTTCAAGGCGAGAAGAGTAGTAACTGAGAGCAATTTGTTACATACCGAACTGGAGTCTAAAAGGTCTTACTCAAAGAGCTAAAGACTCATAAATTCAGATTCATCCTGTTCTTGTTACACAATGTGATGCAGATGCATTTTTTACATGCTCTAAAAAAAATGAGGTATAGCTATATGGCTAAATGTTAAAATGGACTAAAATAGTAACTGTATAGGCAAAACAGCTGACACTTCACAAAGGAAGATAAACAAATGATCAATTATCATATTGAAAAGTTCTCAACATTGTCAGTGATCAAGGAAAAATGCCAATTAAAACCACAATGAGAACCAATACACACCTGCTAAAATGCTAAAATTAGAAGGACAATGCCAAAGGTGGACAGAGCCACTGAGCAGCCAGCGCTCCCCTAGATTACTGCTGGGGCACAAGACAGGAGAACCACTGCTGGAAAAGGGTTCAGTTTCTTATGAAACGTAAATATGCACCTACCATTTCGCCTAGTAACTCCGCTCCCTAGGTGTCCATTTCCAACAAAAAGGAAAACATTTTCCCGCAAATAGACAAGTACAAAAACGTTCACAGCAGCTTTAGTCACAATAACCAAAAACTGGAAACAATCCATTGTCCATAAAAGAGACTGGATAAATAGTGATATATTCAATAGAATATGGGTAGAAGTAAAGGAAGGGATGGAAAACAGGAGGGTATAAATGAAACAAGAGTGGCTGTAAGCTGTTTGATAATGTAGCCAGATAATAGGTATTACTGGAGGGAGTCATCAAAATCTACTTTGATATATCTGAAATTTCCAAAATCAAAAGTTTTTAAAAGAAATAAAGTATATATCCAAAATTGTGGGATATATAAAGTAGTATTTAAAAAAACATATCTAGGGGTGCCTGGGTGGCTTAGTTGGTTAAGCATCCGACTTTCGCTTAGGTCATGATCTCGCGGTTCGTGGGTTCGAGCCCCGCGTTGGGCTCTGTGCTGACTGCCAGCTCAGAGCCTGGAGCCTATTTCAGAGTCTGTGTCTCCCTCTCTCTCTCACCCTCCCCTGCTCACGCTGTCTCTCTCTCTCTCTCTCTCTCTCCTAGAAATAAAACATTAAAAAAATAAAAAATAAATAAAAAATAAAAAATAAAAATAAAAAGACATATCTAGGGGCACCTGGGTGGCTCAGTCGGTTGAGCATCCAACTCTTGAATTCGGCTCAGGTCATGAACCCAGGGTTGTAGGACTGAACCCCATGTCGGGCTGTGAGCTGACAGCACAGAGCCTGCTTGGGATTTTCTCTCTCCCCCTTTCTCTGACCTTTCCCTGCTTGCTCTCTCTCAAAATAAATACACATTTCAAAATATAAAAATAAAAAGACATTTATGGTATTTAAAATATATATTCAAAATAAAAGGAAGACAATTAATGATTTAAAGGCTATAAAAACAGAATAAACCCTGGGGTGCCTGGGTGGCTCAGCTGGTCAAGTGTCTGAGTTCAGCTCAGGTCATGATCTCATGGTTTGTGAGTTCAAGCCCTGCGTTGGGTTCTGTGCTGACAGCTCAGAGACTGGATCCTGCTTCAGATTCTGTGTCTCCCTCCCTCTTTGCCCCTGCCCCGCTGACACTCTGTGTGTCTCTCTCAAAAATAAATAAGCATTAAAAAAAATTTAAAACAGAATAAACCTCAAAGCAGAAATTAACAATAAAGACCAGAAATTAACAAAATAGAAAACTGCTAGAGATGATTAAAATGGTCTTCTGACAAACATTATGCCAATAAATTTTTTAGAGTATACGATGTTGAAACCTATCAAACTGTATACTTAAGTATGTGTAGTTTACTGTATGTCAGTTATACTTCATTAACACTGTTTAAAAAACAGGCATTTATCACGGTGCCAGACATTGATATTCTTCCAGTAGTATCTGCAATCAAGCTTTGGTTTCTGCAGGGTTAGTGTGAATGATTAGGTTAGTGTCCAACTGGGTTAAGGTTACAGCTATGACACTTTTATTATTGTCGTGAAATTAAGTAAAATAAATATGATCCTCCAAAGTATATATGAAATAGACAAATTCTTAGGGGTAAAAAATGTAACTCACCAAAAACAAAGGAAATGGAAAACCAATGGAATCAATAGTTAAAACTCTAGACCTTATGGTTTTACCAGTGAGTTTCAGCAAAATTCAGGGAATAAATAATCTCAGTCATACATCAAATAATTAAGACAACAGAAAAACAGGGAACACTTTCCAATTAATTTTATAAGATAACCTAAAGGTAATACTAAACCTAACAATATTATAGGTCACTCTCACTTATGAAATATATGCAGAAACCCTAACCGGAATAATAGCAAACTGAAAGTTAAGTTTGGTTTTAAGTTTTAAAAAGTCAATTGATTTGTATACCATATTAATATTAAAGAACAAAAACAATATTAAAAAATCATATGAAATCTCATACATACAGGAAAAAACATTGCAAAAATTCAACATAAAAACTCAAACTAGAGGGGTGGCTGGGTGGTTCAGTTGGTTAAGCATCTGACTTAGGTCATAATCTCACCATTTGTGGGTTTAAGCCCTATGCTGGGCTTCATGCTAACAGCTCGGAGCCTGCTAGGGATTCTCGAACTCTCCCTCCCCCTCCCCCACTCTCTCTCTCAAAATAAATAAACTTAAAAAAAACACAGTTCAAACTAGATATACATAGAAACAGTCTTCACCTGATAAAAAGCACCGATGAAAAACCTAACACAAACACTGTACTTGGTTAAACAGTATATGGTTAAGACAAAGAACAAGAATGGAGCTCCTGGGTGGCTTAGTCGGTTAAGAGTCCGACTTTCGCTTAGGTCATGATCTCATCGTTCGTGGGTTCGAGCCCCATGTCGTGCTCTGTGCTGACTGCCAGCTCAGAGCCTGGAGCCTGTTTCAGTCTGTGTCTCCCTCTCTCTCTGACCCTCCCCTGCACACGCTCTTTCTCTCTCCTAGAAATAAATAAAACATTAAAAAAAAATTAAAAAAAAAAAAAAAGACGAACAAGATTTAGCCCAAACCAATGCAGTGAGGCAAGAAAAAGATTTTTTAAAAAGATTAAAGGGTTAAGAAGAAACCAAACTGTCACTATCCACAGATATCATACTGTTGAAAATCTAAATGTATGTACAGAAAAATATGAAAATTAAGAGCTATGTAGGCTGCTGTGTGTCAAAAGCCAATACATCAGCAACAGAAAGTAAGACATTAAAAAGGATACCATCTATAAGTTTCAAAAAATATAAACTACCAGGAATAAATCTGACAAAAAGTAGGCAAGACTTCCATGAAGAAAATGATAAAATCTTAAAGAAAGACACTTAAAAACTAAGTTGAGATTATACCATGTTATTACGGGTGAGAAACCTCAGTTTTGTAAAGATGCTGATTCTCACCCAACTGTCCATATAGAAGCAACAGACTCCCAGTAAAAAGGCCAACAGGTTTGTGAAGCTTGGTAAGCAAATTCTAAAATGAATATGGATGCACAAACAAGTCCAAGAGCAGTCGCAACATTCCTGAAAGGCCAGGTGGGAGAAATCGCTCTACGGGGTATCACCACACTCTACAACTACACGAATTAAGACAGCGTGGCACTGGCACAAAACACCAGGGTGATATTGCAGATTGACAGAAAAAGGAAATATTTTCAGTGAATTATGGTGAGATAACAGTATGGGGAAAAAATGGAACTAGACGCCTACCTCACGCCATTCATCTAAAAAAACCCCAAAACTTTAAATAAACATAGAAATATGAAAGGCAAAACTACAAAACCTTTAGAATATAGGCAAATATCCTGACGGTCTTAGGACAGGAAACTTTTTTCTAAGACATAAAAAAAAAAAACAAACCACAAAGACCGATAAATTCATGTCCATTAAGAACTCTACTGAGAGGGGCGCCTAGGTGGCTTAGTCGGTTAAGCGTCCGACTTTCGCTTAGGTCATGATCTCGCGGTTCATGGGTTCGAGCCCCGCGTCGGGCTCTGTGCTGACTGCCAGCTCAGAGCCTGGAGCCTGTTTCAGTCTGTGACTCCCTCTCTCTCTGACCCTCCCCTGCTCACGCTGTCTCTCTCTCTCTCTCTCTCTCTCCTAGAAATAAATAAAACATTAAAAAAAAAAAAGAATAGTTAAAAAAAAAAAAAAAAGAACTCTACTGAGACACCACAGAGAGAAGTGGGGGGAACCAAGGGAAAACTGAAGGAGGTGGAGAAAGAATCCCCATCTGGAACACAGAAAGAATTATCTATGAATCAATAAGGAAAAAGACAAATGATCCATTGGGAAAAACTGATCAAAAGACTCAAATAGCACTTCCCAGAACATGAAAACCTGCAGAGTTAAATATCTGAAAAGATGCTCAACCTCATTAGTAATGAGAAAAATCACAACCACACACCCGATTAACAAAACATAAAATGTCACTGAATATACCCACTGCTGGTGAGAAGGCAGAGCAGAAGCAATAGTAACCAGAGGTGCTCAAGCATGAATTGGTACACCCTCCTGAGAAAACAACTCTGGTGTGTACCACCATACTGGGAACCCTGTCACACCATGTCACACCCTACAACCCAGCAATTCCATTCACAGTCGTTTCTAGGCACCCTAGGGCACGGCTTCACAACCTAGGGTGATTCTACTCCCAAGGGACATGACATTTGGCTACACATCTACATATAACTATATACCTAGATATATGTCTACATCTATAGATATATCTATAGATACAGAGAGATAAAACCCTATATAGATATCTATATAGATCTAAAGAGAGAGGGAAAGAGAGACATTTTTGGTTGTCACAACTGGGGATGCTACTGGCATCGAATGCATTAAGACACCAGAGATGGTGCCTCCTACATCTATTCTGCCCACTGGTCCCAAGATTGAGACCCTGCCCTAGAGAAATGAAACTTCATCTTTGTAATTCCCAAGTATTAACTGGTTCTAACTAATTTCCTTGTCAACCAGGTTCCCTTTGGCCCATCCTTTACAATTAAATTTAAGTGGTTTTCCTTAAAAATAGAAAAACGCTGCCGACTTTCTTTGAGAGACCGCTATTAGCATCACATTGCCATGGCCCTTACAACTTATGTGGCCCTGGCAATCACCTGGAGAACAAAAAAGGAAATAACCAGATGCCCTGCCTCCAGCCCTGGAAAACCTGACTCAAGAAGTGTGGGGAGGCAGGCACTGATTCACTTTTATTTATCACACAAGTGCTTCCAAGGCATGCTGCCCTGGACCACTCTTTGTAGGTAATGCTGTATACGCGTAATGGGTTTAAACATTTAAAAAGAGGCACACAAGGGCCTTCACAAACAATTCCCAACCTTCTTTGCTACCTTCATTTTCCTTTGCTGTCCATCTCCTACACGCTGTGCCTAGAACAACTACTCTACCAAACATGTACAGAATCTCATGCTGTCTCCAATCCCTCTTCTTTTTCTCCTGGAAATTTCTACTCATTCTTTGAGACTCAACTCAAATTACAGACCCCTGTGAATCCTTACCTGAATACCTTAATTAGTTACATTCTCCTTAATGCCTTCACATTACTCTGGCCATATTTCAATTATGGTATTTAATATTCTAAATACTAATATACTATACATATATTGTTTTTAATTTTTTTTTGAGAGAGAAAGTGAGAGAGAGGGAGTGGGAGGTGGACAGAGGATCCAAAGTGGGCTCTGCACTGAGTGCAGTGAGTCCATCGCAGGGCTCGAACTCATGAACTGTAAGATCATGACCTGAGCCGAAGACGGACCCTCAACTGACTGAGCCCCCCAGGTGTCCCACAAATTATGTTTACAGGTCTCTCTCACCCTCTAGACCTTGTTAAGAAATTTAGGAGTGTGTGTACATAATTAGTCAACTGTTACTGTATGATCCTGTCTTGAAAGCCCCAAACACTTGCCTCTTTACCACTTTAACTTGACAGATTTTATTCACCAACAGCCAGGACTATGGGAGAAGCTTTAATATTTTAGAAAATAACAAGCTTCCATTAATCATCAACTTTATACAGAATCTCTGCAAGAACTTATTGTGTTTATTTCTATTTTAAAATGGTTAGTAGGTACTGGAATTAGCACATCACCATGTTAACCTCATTTTTGCAGGTGAGAAGATCAACATATAGAGGTAATTTCAAAACAGTGAAAACCAGAATTCTAAACTGTTACTTCACTACCAGGTCAACGCCTTCAACCCTTCAACTCGGATCAAAGCTCAGTCTCTCAGTTTTATTTCTGAGGGAAGCAAGGGGTTAAAAAAAAAAAAAAGAAAAAAGAAAGAAAGAAAAGCAAAGAAAAAGCCTTCACAATCCAGAGTATATGTGAGGTACATCCTCCTATTTTCTAATCCCAAAAAGAAATGAAGCGAAATAGTTCCAAATCTAAAATTATGTTTTCTAGGGGCGCCTGGGTGGCTCAGTCAGTTAAGTGTCTGACTTTGGCTCAGGTCATGAACTCACGGTTTGTGGGTTCGAGCCCCGCATCAGGCTCTGTGCTGACAGCTAGCTCAGAGCCTGGAGGCTGCTTCAGATTCTGTACCTCCCTCTCTCTCTGACCCTCCCCTGCTCACGCTGTCTCTCTCTCAGAAATAAATAAAAACATTAAAAAAAATTTTTTTAAATTATGTTTTCTTTCACATTTCAAAATTGTCTTTTTTTGTAGTTTAAAATATCTTAGAGAATCATCATGGGCAGAATTTCTTAGATGCTAGGCTGGGTAAAGGTACCCAACAGACAGCACTCAAAGGTCCCTATTATAACTGTACACTGACTAATGGCTTGCCATGTTGTCGGCCATGTTCATACCACATTTCAGAGCCTGCCTTTATGGGGAGAAGTGACAAAACAGAGTTTGAGAAACACTACCGGAACATTTTGGGCTATGGCACATCCAATTTGCTGAATGCTAAAAGAAACAGAGGGCTGGTTAACTACCATCGCCTTGGCTCCTAGAAGGATTTTCCTCGATGGTTTTGACGGTGGTTACATTGGTGTTCACAGAACCGCCACTTGCTGTCCGAGAACTCTGCAGGCCAGGAGTCTTGCTCCTTTCTTTTTTGGTTTCCACCCTCCCAGTAGGCTCCTTCTGTGAACTATTAAGAAAGTCAAACAGCAGCTCATCATCAGGTTCTGACTTTTTTCTTCGAACAAACTGGGATGAAGGCCTAGGGGCAGATGTGTTTTCACCAGAATGGGAGGTCTCCACTGACGCCCTAGATCCTACTTTCACATTTGCGGTGCCAGCTAAGATGGTGGCCTTCTGGTTCCTAATGTTCTCAGCAGCTGAGGAAATATACGCAGCTTTAGATCCAGCCTGATAAGTCAAATCTGTATTCTGCTGAAGTTCGGGATAGTCAGCATTTTTGTTATATGCGAGATTGCTGGTGTTCTCTTTTCTACTGAGAGCTGTCGCAGCCCCTTGATCAACTCGATTTAAAAGATCTTCTGCCTTTCCAGCAAGATCAGCAAACCAAGACATGACGGTAGCAGAACAATCCTACTGGTGAACCTGTAAAAGGTACATAAAGCGGTCAGTACGGCGTAACAGCAGCACACAGCAGTGAAGACGGAGCTCTGGAGTCAGATGGTCCTGGACTGAAAGCCTAACACTGCCTCTTACTAGCCATCTAACCCTGAGCTATCAACTTCCCTGAACCTGAGACACTTTACCTAGAAAATGAGGAAAATAAGTGTGTTCACATTAAAGGACAGCTTTAAGAAGAAAGAGTATATAAAAAAACTTGTCGCAAAATGCCTGACACACAGTAGGCAAGCATTTTAATAGCAGTTGTTATTACCATAATAATTACAGCTATCACTACTGCTATAACTCCTCTATTTGAACAAAAGGCAAATGTTAATGTGTAGCAAACGTAAGTAGCAAATAATCAATGTAGTAAACTTCCAGCACAACCAAATAGAAAGAATTCCCTGAAGTTTGTTTTAAGGTGCTAAAACTTGAAGAGACTTTGGATTCATACTAAATCTACCTTCATGTGCAAATACAGCACTATCATGGATAATTTAGATGTGCACATAATCTTTCCAAAGTACACTTACGATAATTTACGTGCTCAGCACCTACTATGTGCACACTGGCTAAAAAAGACTGCATAGCCATTTATTTGATAAACAGATCGGAGTACTTTTTGGTGTGCCAGAATGAATCGGGATGCTGAAGTAATTAGTTCTTACAGATACAGACCTGTACTCAAACCGTCAACAACCATTTCTTGAATGTGCACATTGTTGTGCCTGGGATGCTGTTTCATCATTAACTCTTTCTTGTCCTTAGTCTTCACCTGAATGTCATGAGCTCCAAAACACAGTTCTCTTTCTTTCCATCTAGAGTCTATCATTCTCTGTTCATATGCTAGGCTTTTCCCTCACAACATTTTATGTTTTATATGATTTTTTTCTGTCTCTTCCTATTGGGAAAGGGGAGGAGGGAAGTGGCTGGATGAAGGCCAGGTCTGTTTTGCTTACCACTGAATACTCAGCACACATCAGGCATCCGTAACTACCGCTGAATCTAGTTTGTATGTCAAACGCCATACAAACGTTATATTTATCACATAATTTCACAACCACATTATGCAGTAAGTAGCAATGTTTTTTTCACAAACAGGGAAAAGACTTAGAAAGACCCCAGAGTTTCCATGGCAGTTCAGCAACTCAAATCTAAGTCAGCCAAACCCACTTTTTTTTAAAAACCACTGCCTTTCCCATCTAGCCTCAATCTGAATAACCTCAAGAAGAAACTCACCCTCTAAACCTGTTCCCTACAAAATGGGACTACTCCATACCTGTGTATATCACATTTTAAGAGACCTCAATTGAAAATGGAGGTGCAATGCTCTAAGATACAAAACTCCTCACACAAGTGAAGTATTATTCTCATGTAGACCTTGGCCGCGATTGGGCGGCAAATGAACCTTACTAATTAAAGCAGTCAAAACATACTTCTTAGCCCCCTATATCTCGCCTCCTATTTTAAAGTTAATAGGGCTTTCAAACAAAACCCCATGCCTTAACGTTGATTACCCAATTAATTACAAACATGGGTCCTGGGCACTTGTCAGGACACGGCACTAACGACTCCAGCGGACTTCAGAGGGCAGTGCCCTCAAGTAGTTTCTCAGGCACCGCCCTAGGAAATGGCCCAACAGGGACGGGGATGGGAGAAAGAGACGGTGGCAGTGCATGGGCTGGGGATGCGTCCGCAGACAGCAGTGGCAGGGCCTGCCCGAAGGCCAGTTGTCAACACAGAGGAAGGGTGGCCGGAGGTCAGTCTGTAGATCCCAGGTAGGCGAGTACAGACACCCCCCCACTTCGCTCCCCACCCACCAGGCTGAACCTCTGGAAGGGGAGGAGCTGCCAAACCAGGCTGGGGGCGGAGGGAGGGAAGAGAGGGGAGGGCACCAAACAATGCCGGCCGGGGCCCGAGGGGGCCCCCCTGCCCTCTCCCTCCGCCCCCCAAAAGCACAGACACCGGAGTCTCCGCGTAGGGGACGCCAACCCCGCGCCTACACCGTTAACGCCCTAGGCGGACCGGTCCGGCGCACTGGGCTCACGCTGCCGCCTCACCTGAGGACTCTGGAGCGGCAGCACCGCGGCCTTGTCGCCCGCCTGGGCCGCCCCCCACCTCGCAGCCGGCGGCGAGAGGGCCAGGCAGATGAAACCTGTCCCGGCCCTGTCGCGGCCCGGCTACTCTTCCGGGAGACGTGGAAGGGCAGCGAGGACCCCAAAACAGAGTGGCTTCCGAGCTGCCTGAGCGGCCCAGGGCCGACGGCAGCCACCTGGAGGCGTCAGGCGGTGGCGGCGGCTGCTGCGGGGGCCTCGCTCTTGGCCACGCCCTTCTTCCGCCTGGTGCGTGCGACGTAGCTCTCCTCCCTTGGACGACTATCTGCACGCGGCCGGCATAACATTGTAGGCCACGCCTACCAGGGGCGGGACCCTCGGCGGCACTGGGCGGTGACAGAGGCGGTGCCCCGCCTAGAAGGAATTTGAGGCCTGAGTTGGGCGGGGCGTGAGTCCCAGGTGGACCCCCCCAGCCTTCACCTTTCCCGCTTTGCCTGCCAGTTTTGCTGATGGGGATGCTGAGGACCCAGGGGATGGGAATACAGAAAACAAGATCGTAAGTTCATGAAGCTTCCTTTCTAGCGGCCGAGACGGATATTAAATAAACCAATGGCTGAACAAGACAATTTTAAGAGTGCTATCAAAGCTGTAAAGACAAAAAGGGAGAAGTGACTGGACATGGAGGAAACACTTTAAATAGTGTGATCAGGGAAGGTCTCTCTGAAGAGGTGACATTTAAGCTGAGACCCAAACGACGGAAAAGACCCATAAAGGGTCTTTCCATACAGCGGTATTGATAGTTCATAGAATACTTGAAATTAGTCTAAGATCCACATTCAATAATTAAATACTCAGCTCCTACTATGGTGCACAGGATTGGGCTAATTTGGCTCTAATTGTCGACAAGCCTACAACATAGCCCTATACATCCCCATTTTCAGGTTGAGGAAACTAAGGCTCAAAGAGGTGAAGTAACTTGTCTAAAATCATCTGTCCTAATGAGGAGTCCACAGTACTCGAAAGCCTGTGCCCTTAGACTCAGTGTTTTATTTTCTCCAATTGAATATTGGAAGTGATCACAACTCCTGTTTCTCTTTTTCTCAAATCTGGTTTAGCCCAGTTTAGTGAATGAAAACTTTCAGCAGCAGCTGGACTTAATAATAATGTCTAACAGTTCTTGAGCCCTTGTTAAGTGCAGAATACTGTTATGCGTCCGATGTGCTTCGCCTCATTTAATTCTTACAACAGCTGTAGGAAGGGTGCTGTTATTATCTTGTGATACGGTGGTCTTGTTCCCAACTTATACATAGCTCTTCCTATTTAGGATGATACATCACTACCTGTTGCTAGGTGATTGCAATGTTTCCTGTAAGAGGAGTGTCCTTTTTATCCTCGCTGAGGTCAGGCTTGATCTTATGACTTGCTTTGGGCAATGGAATGTGAATAGAAGGCATTTCGCCACATCTGAGCAGAAGTGTTAAGAGGCATTATATTTCCATCAGCTCTCTTGATGTTTTTCCTCTCTCAAGAGAATGGCTAGTCCAGAGAGGCCTGCTCCCTCCCCCTGGGTCCTGGCAGGAAAATGATGCAAAGCAACCCACATCTAACATATCGCAGGAGTGAAAAAATAAACCTGTGCTTTTAATTGGCACTGAGATTTGGGACCGTATTTTACACAGCCTTACCTAATGAAATATGATGAATACATACCCCTATTTTATAGAGGAAGACACTGAGATTCAGGGAGATTTAGTTACTTTCTCGTGGTCAGTGTATGGCACATGCTGGATAGCTAGTTTGTGCAAGCATACCCTGAATGCCCCTGTTAATCACTATCTTGAAAATGTGGAAATCTTGTCCTCTGTCCATATCCCTATCAAGCAGAAGAATAGCAGGGTGTTGTTCATTGTTCAAGGTCAGGGGCATTGGGGGTGGCCAACCCTGAGTGTCTTGTAACAAAGACTGTTCATGTGGCAGGCCTTGATCTCTTTGAAACTCTAACCATCCGAGGAGGGGAAGGGCCAATGATAATTGCTAAGTTAAGCTGCTGTGATATAGAAACTTGCTGCATGTACATCCCAGCAGCTGATGCTTTGACTAGTCAGCTGCTCCCGGGCTCCCTGTATGTAAATTACCCCAGTAAATCTATGTCTCAATCGCTGTCTCCAGGTCTTTTCTCTGACCTCACCCGACCATCCCTACCCTAAGCTTAGAGTCAGCTAGGGTGTAGCTGCACCATCACACAGGGAGTAAGTAGTACGTCTGGGACTCAAACCAGGTTACTGTGGCTACAGAAACAATGTTTTAACCATTGCAGGGGGTGAGGATAAAAGAAGCTAACGCAGAGCCAAAGCTTCATGTCAAATATATTAGCAGTGGGCAAGCCCCCAAAAGAATGTTTCAAGAATTTTCACATAAATTCCCTAAAAGAGTCAGCATAGGGACCTGCCACCCAGAAGTCATTGGAACCCGGCTGGATTAGCCAGAGAGACAGCACAACCATGAGAGAGAGATCGCGGCCTTGTCCAGTAGGTAAGAAAATGTGCTCTTTTCTTGTCCCTTCCTCCCTGTTCTTGCTGCCAGAGGAGCTAACTCCTCAAAAAAGAAGGGAGAGAAGGCATGTGAGGATCGGCTAGAGACCCTGGCCTCCACTCTGAGCCTCTAGAGTGCAACCAAGCTTGTCTGCTCCAGGGGAAGCAAGGGTCTGCTCCTCTAGGGAGGAGAACTTGGAATAGAGTTTAAGAAGAAAGTTTTAACCGAACAGAGCTGGATTACAACTTTGGGAATGGCAGAGCGAGGAACTCCACAAATCCTGTCCCCGTTGATGTTTGTTGCCCGTCCCATGGCAACGATGAGATTAGACAAAATTGGGATCAAAATCATTTCAACTCCCTGGAAATCAGTCACAGGCATAGCACAAAATAAGAAGTATTTATTCCAGTAGAGCCACTAAACTTTTAGTAGGCACAGTGGAGGTGTATGACATTTTGGTCCAGAGCAATTCCCAAACTCCCACCAAAGTTCCATGGAGATTGCTCTACCGGGGCTGGGAAAGCTGGGAAACCAGCAGCTTTGTGCAGAAGACGGCAACTTGATTTGGAGCGGAGCCAGAAAAGCCTCATGACCCAGGGCAAGCCTCCGTTTGGAACTCCCAGCATTGCAGCTGTCCACAGCTGCAATATTGACTGAGCCAACAACTCACCAGAAAGCTTCCTAGAAGTTTAGTAGGGAGATCCAGGTAATGAGACAGCCGTAATGGGCTTTGATAAGCTCCCACGTACCCTGGTGGTTTGGGAGGAGGCTGTTTGCAAGGCTGTATAAGCTCAGGAGAATCTTGAGAAAGCCAGGCTCTCTTATCCTGGCTCAATATAAAGCCAGATACAGAGGAGACACTAGAAAACCCAGTAGAATAAAAAGATGGGGCAGTCTTGTAAAGTGCCCGACTTTTGAATGTGAGTGCCTGACTTTTGAATTGTGTATGATGAATCCCCTCATCATATACAGGGGATAAGAATAAAAGTTGATGCTGCATCAGGAACGATGAAGGAGGGAAGGCAGTGGGATGGCTTATTTGACAGGCCAAAGGAGAAAAAAAACTGTCAAACAAGAATTCTCTAACAAAACTACCCTTCAAAAATGAAGTCAAGTAGATACCATATGTTTGCACGTATAGGAGGATTAGGAGGAACTTAACAGAGGACCATGGGGGAGGAGAAGGGGAAAAAATAGTTGGGGAGAGGGAGGGAGGCAAACCATGAGAGACTCTTGAATGCTGAGAACAAACTGAGGGCTGATGGATGTGGGGGGGGGGAGGGGGGTGATGGGCATGGAGGAGGGCACTTGTGGGGATGAGCACTGGGTGTTATATGGAAACCAACTTGACAATAAACTATTTTTTAAAAAATGAAGTCAAATAAAGACATTCCCAGATAAACAAACACTGAGAGAATTTGTGGCTAGTAGATCTGCGTTAGAAAATTAAATAATATATAATAGTATATAATAAATATTAAAGGAAATCCTGCAACCCGAAGGGAATGATACCAGGTGGTAACTCAAACCTAAGTGAAGAAATTAAACAGAGCTGAATGTGAAATACCAGGACAACTCTGTCTTAATAACGGAAGGTGGCGAAAGCTCTAGCATCAGGAGAGATCGTCTCAAGGAAACTATGATTCATAGGAAAAACTGGGATCTCCTACAAATCAAAAGTATAGTTGAAGAGAATGAATGGAGGAAATTGAATTACTTCCTTGCAGTGCCCCAGGTGAGTTAAGACTTTCTAATAAACTGGACACACTAACATCTCAGAGTGTTTGCCTCCCCCAGTAGTAAAAATATAAGGTCCTTGGGGCGCCTGGTTGGCTCAGTCGGTTAAGCGTCCAACTTTGGCTTAGGTCATGATCTCGCAGTTTGTGGGTTCAAGCCCTGCGTCAGGCTGTGTGCTGACTGCCAGCTCAGAGCCTGGAGCTTGTTTCGGCTTCTGTATCTCCCTTTCTCTCTCTGATCCTTCCTTGCTCATGCTCTCTCTCAAAAAACATATATATGTTATATATATAAGGTCCTTGTGGGGAGTGACTCTCCTTCCCACCTGACTAACATCACACAGCTGTTCCTTCCACCCAATCCTTCTCCTTAATGGTGTTTACACAAGTGTGGCTCCATGAGGGAGGGCAGGGAGCGTCGTGTTGTTTACGGCTGTATCATCAGAGCCTCAGAAAGTACAAAGCATGGACAGATGTTCTGACATATTGAGTAACGAATGAATAATAATGTACAGTGAGTTGAGATAGCATGGAAAAAAGGCAGAAATGGGATGATCTGGATTCTTATGTGACCGTCAATTAGTTTCAAGTGCCTTAATCTCTCTGACTCTCAATTTTATCAGGAAATAATTGTATCAGACACTAATGAACTAGAATATATTTAGGCTGAAAGTCAGAAAACCTCTGTTCTGATCATAGTTCTACTTCCTAGCTGTGTGAGCTTGAGCCGACTGCCTGCGCCACATCCCAGGCTTCATTTTGTAGAGGAATAATTGAACCAGAATTGGTGGTCATAAGTTTGCAAACTCAATTGCTTTTGTTTTGTTTGTTTTGTTTGAGACACAGCCACATGTTTGATTTAAAAATCCACAAACGTACACTCGTGTTAACAAGAGTGTGGAGAAATAGATATCCTTAACATATTATTAAC